CCCTCCCCCCTCCCCCCCCCACGCATTAATATTTAGGGTTGAACTAGCCATTGAATCACGTAAATTCAATAGGGTGTCATGGACACACGCTTGAAAGATAAGTCATAACTTCTACCTCTGACTCAATCTGAAATTAGAATTCGGAAAAGAGAGACCATATTCAAAACTAGAAACACTGAACTAAATTCTAGGCCCTTTCATCTCTGTCATTTGAATTGAAGATATTAATTTCAATTAGAGTAAAGATGAGAAATAGTGTCATTGATGTTCACGGTTCAATAATTTAATTCCCATATTTTATTTACAAATAAACTCACAGTGTGTCTTAATAAAATGAAACAATTCTTGAGGGGAGGGGGGGATATATTCCGCTAATGATCTCAATCCTTACAAACCCTTGACACTGAGAGTAGAAACGGCATGAATAGGGGCTCTTAATTAGGGATTTTAGTCTTATTAACAATTCCCAAGTACTTATTAGACAGTTCTTACTAATGACAAAAAATTCTCTTCGAAAAGTACAGTGATTGGTGATAAAGAGTAAAAATAGTCGGCTTCTTTCTATTATAACAATCGGCCAGTAAGAAGAGGAAAATGTAGCTTGCTAGAGGCCAATAGAGATGGCTCCTCCTCTCTTCTGAGCGAGGAACTTGCTGATGTTATTGCGAAGAGAAGAGCCAAGTTAAGAAAACCTATATTTAATTATGACCTCAAGCCCATTAGGAGAAATATTCTAAAAAAAACTTGATTTGAGCACAGTTAAGGTAAACTCGCATTCTATAATTCTCCTATGCCGAGTAGAGTTAAAAACTGCGGTTGATCATTCATATCACTGGATATGCACTTATGAGCATCACTTTATGACCTATGACCTAGCATAAAGACATGTTAACCACACATACACACACATACACACACATTTACTCTCCTACTCACCTCTAACGATCATCAATAAAACAAATTAAAAAAGGAGGAAAGAAGATCAGTGATTGGTTCAAAGCATTAAAGAAAAACATCAATGTAAAGATTGAGGCGTCTGAAGCCACCTCAAAACCCTGGAAAGTGTCTAGAAGAAGACAAGATAATCACAGGCAAAATCAAGAAAAGACATCAAAAAGGCAAATAGGGAAGAGGGGAGAGAGAACGAGAGGGAGGGAGGGGGCGTATTTTAATCCTCACTTTGTCTAACAATGAATAATTAGAGTTGAGTAGGGTCGGAGATGAAAGAACGCCGTTAAAGCTCAGGTTTAAACAAGCCTAATCTTTAAGAGAGATAAAACATCTTAGAAAGAATCCATCAAACCCACTAAATGACTACTCGACGAACAGAGAAGGAAGTAGAAACCAATTTCGTGTCCCTTCAATCTCATGCTGTTAAAAACCTTCAAAGGTAAATCGAGGAAACTCTCAGTGCAGACAGCTCCCTCCCCCCAGATAACTTCGCTTCAATTCGCTGTCATAATTCGGAGAGGGGCAAAAATGGTGTAAAAAGCGCATCGGGACAATTGCAGAAATCAACGTGGAGCCAAAATAACCAAAAAATTGCCCACTCTACTTCTCCTCGAATTTTTATGCCTTCCACTTTCTATTGATTACAACTCTCACTATGAGTACAAAACGGCCTCTTTGAATTTTCCTAAACTCCAGCACAATTGAACATCACATCCTATTGTAGTAAGAAAGCTCCCATTTCCCTCATCTACTTCACACAACTTCCTAATAAGTAGCAAATTCAGCTTGATCATTGCGAGTATATCTAGATTAATTCATAAATGATGAGTGTCGCCTTTATGAATATAAAGTCTTGAAGGAGGCTGAGGGATTGCCCGCAAAATGTCGTCAGATTTTCGATAAAAAATTTTGCCTTCGATTGAACTGTACTCTATCGACATGGTTGAAGGGAATGTTAATTAGAGACAAATCCTAATTCACCCAATAAAACTGAGAACATGGAGGCCACAAGGCTAGCGCCCATTCTTCATTTTCACGCCTTCAAATCTCGAGTTTCCATTGCCTTTGCACTATATAGTTTGATTACCCTCTACTCTTGACTTCCGATAGGAAATCATTTCATTTCCCACTTTTATGAAAAAGGAAAAGTTTTGGTAGAATAATTGACCAACATCGGCATGGCTAAGGTCTTCACTATTGGCCTTTGTTCTCCAGGGTCATGTGCTTCCAATGACCAAAGAAGTGGTACATGTGGGATGACCTTAAGAGGTCACTCTTAGGGTCATTGCTCAAACATGTTAAAAATACTTTTTTAGGCTTCCTAACAGAAAGTTATCAAAACTCTTGATTTTAGTAGAGTGGAGGTGCAAAGAAACAGCTCAAATGGTAGACAATGAAAAAAATTAGACAGCGCAAGATTTGCACCGACGAGCACTGGTCCCTTGTACTGATTGGCACGTTGATGTGATGCCACAACTAGCTGAAAATCTAACCAAATTTTGTTTTACAAACTAGAATCAATGATTAGAAGGCAGGTGTCACTATGCACGTTTTTAAATCATTTCACTAAATGGTATGAGATCTTTCGCCGCATAATAAAACATAATGAAAAAGATCTCAAAAACAAACAAACTCAAACAATTGAATCAATATTACTGACCTATGGTACCCTGAATAAATCCAATTATTAAAAGCTTTTAATTATACAACTGGCGTTAAACTCACATCACGATAGTCGAAGCCGCCAAAGGAAAAGAGCAAATTGCGAATACGCTCTTTCAAAACCCCCAATGATATGCCTTGTGTAGCGTTGTTAAGTCCACTCGCAAGTTCTTCTGTCAACACAAAGTTCGATTTGATCACCTGTTGGGGCTCAATAGCTTCAGTACTATTTGACTACAAAAGGCGGTAAATGAAGAATTAGATTGTATGCGTTTGGCAGAAATTTAACCAAAATCGACAAACCTCATGGAAGAACTGCATGCACACTCGCTCCCAGAGAACTAGCAAGCGCTCTTCGATGTCGCTTTTATTTGACAAGTTTCCATGAAATAGCTCATCAACCTGAAAGCAATATCATGTGGTTCAATCTTACGAATGGTACATTGTTTAAAGACTTGAAAATTACTCGTTACTGATATTTTATAAGTAACAATGAGTTGTATCAAAGTTAATGCTAGAATTTAGACACTGATATCTAGCAGAGTCGTTATAAACTGATAGAAAGCCCTATATACTGGGCAAACTGGATGAAAACGCTAAAGTAATTAAATGAGAAGCCGTTACCTTGGACTTAATGAATGTTCTGCCGAACTGGTGAACATTGCTGATGGCGGAACGAGCAGTGGAGCCCAGTTGATCTTGGTCGGGTAGCCAACTACAAAATGACGATATAAATATAAATTTAACTGCATGAGTGCATCTAAATGTCATGTTATACAGCTAGAGGCCGAGATATAATTGTTCTTGTACACTGCTTCCCGAAGAAAGGAAAAAGAAAAACAAGGAACTTGTACCTGAGAATATGTTTGCAAAAGAACCGAGTACTTTAAGTCAAAAAATAAACATAAAACGGGGTTGATAATACTTTTCCAGTTGTTTTGATCACAATAAGGAAGGCAGAGGGGGCAACCCCTCCAAACTTTGAATAAGTGGTCTAAATTCATATAAAAAATCTTCCCTAAATTCGAATTGCGAAGACCTCTTTTGCTCATGTAGATAAAGATAGAGCTAAGGCTATTTTATTATTAAAAGTAGAATAAAAGGTTGTAAAAATTACCTGAAAGCGCCACTTTGAATAGTAGAGTTGAGTACACTTGAGCTGAGGGATATCAAGTTAAGAGTTTCGTCGTAAATCTAAAGGAAGGAGAATTCAAATTTTGTAAGCGGACACATCACTGCGGTAAATAGGATTTTACAAAAAAAACACAAATTTAAGTCAATAAGGAATATTTACATAAACTCTAATTGCAGAAACGCGTAGTAAAGTGGTAAATATGCTCTTCAACTTTTGTAAATAAATAAAATAAAATTCGGGCCTCTATCTCATTCATTTTACGTCAATCTGTAGTTGCAGAAGCCACTGTCAAATGTAGACAAACGTCATGTAGGCCAATACTTCCCATTATTTTCGAAATTATAGATTCTATCAGGCGAACTTGAGGCGAAGTGCCTTGAAAGAGCTAAATGAAAGCTAGTTGGATAATAAATTGAGGAGGTAGCTTAATGCAGAGGGGACAAACTGCTTCAACATTCAGCACCATATAATGAATGTCGCCATTAAAGACATTACGATCCCTATACATCTGACGCGTTTTTATACTACCGCACTATGGAAATAAGCATTCCAATTTTCTGGTAAATGGGGTTTTAGTGATAAATCTTATTCCAACACCCAATGTTATCAATCACAATTTAAAGTGAAAGCCAATGAGGTAGTAATATAGCTTACTTGGACAATGAGAAAGACGGTGAAGAGAAGAGTGATGAGAACCATCATAAGGATTATCACCAGACTGATCAAATAGTCCAAGTATTCATCCACGAAGTCGTAGAGCTGAAAAGAGGCACCGATTTCAATTATGATTTTTCTCATATTCGTCATTTAAATTATCTCAACTGTTAATTGCAGTTGTCTACAAGGCTATATTCAGTCTTCGTGTGTGGCACCAACATTCAACTGAAGGAAAATCAATACACAGAGAATGCACCATTTCTACAAGTCTATTTGATTCAAGGCCATAAACATCATAAAGAGTAAAGAACAGAACGCATAGCTCTCAAGAACAGTGAGGGGATTACTATGAGTCTTTGAAGTTGCCTTTTCTGAATTTGATTCTAAAAGCTATATTCAGGGACATATTGTCTCTACACCTCGTTTCACAATCTTGCATTTGAAATAATAACATGAAAGCACTCATCCGGAAGTGCAAAAAATATTTGCATGGCATATTTTTTCTTCACGCTTGTTATCCTATGTAAGAACTTTTCTCACAACTTCAAGCCTGACCTCTAACCTTGAGAAGAAAGTTCAAATTCAAAGTGAACGGTTTCGCTATCTTAACTGTGTGTGATGGACTAAAACAGACGAGATCCTCCTGTTTGCCTGGCGACGGAAAATTTAGTGGGGTGTGTAATAGACACACCTCCATATGGTACACACTGGGCAACGTAAACTCATACAACAAAAAAGTCTATTAGCCGGCAGTTGACTTCTGACTTCAAACTATCATCACCCTACTGTAATAACTATTCCACCACTTCACGGTACTCACCTCACTTTATCCTTTTCTCTACCCATGTGTCTGTCGGTCTCTATAACATCTGCGAATCACTTTTCTGTGCCCCTCTCCACTTTTTGTGACTTTGTCTGTTCTTCTCCTCTGTGAAGCCCGAAGTCGACTAAAAGGCTAATAGTAGCTATCATAAAGCCTCTCATCTGAAATAAATAAATAAATGTCTATGACCACCAAAATGGAGATAGCACTATGATCTTTTAACGAACTCCAGGTTTCTCAAATGGGTTTATATTCTTGACCCGGTGCAATTAGTAGAGTGACCTAAAATAGCATACGAGACATTCCAACATTCGGTGATACTTTCACATAAATAGACGCATTTAAAAGTAGGAAATTACATAACGTTCGACCTTCCAAATCCTTATTAATGATCTTTTAAGATGTTTTGGCAGTAATAAGTTCATAAGAGATTCTTCCTCTTCATTCTCGCAAACCGAAGGATTGTAATAACCTTCAGGCATATCCCTATCAGTCGTACTTTTCTCACTCCTTTCATAAGAGAGAACATCACTGCTACCATTAACAGCATCAGTTTGTTCAGGAGCAGGTACAGTAGGGGATGAACGGATAGCATTCTTGATATAATCCAGACCCATTTTAAGGATCCATAGTACCATCGGAATGAGTTGCATATAGGAAACTATGAATGCAAGTGATCCAATTAGGAGAGCCAGTAGAACAAATCGAAAGACCCAGGTTCGAGTCCAGAAGGCGACGGCGAAGTGAAGCAAGGCAAGACTAGTAAAACAGGCTCGAACAAGTGCGCTTGAGGAATCGTTGGGGTTTGAAGTGTTGTTGTTTAAACCAATCCAAATTGGATCTGGATGATTGGAGGAACTGTCTTCAACGGGTGGTACGAAAGATCGACAGGGCACTTCCTCAGTATTGCTTTGGGACGGGTTGGAGAAACTGCGAAAAATATCACCGGGTGTTGATCTGCAAGAAGAAGCCAATCTGTTATATTAAGAAAAAGTACTCATCTTACCTTTTCTCTGCCTATGTGACTCTCTTTTACTTTACATATATGAATCACTCTTCTTTCCCCCCCCCCCCTCTGTGAATTCCGAAGTCAGATAAAGGGCTAATGATGACTATCAATATGCCTGCCATTTGAAATAAATAAAATATTAAGAAAAATTATTTAATTTTTGCTAAGTTTGGAAGCTAGAAACGCTTAATACCAGATCACAAGTGGATTATAAATTTTATTTTTACTAAGAGCACACCAAAGCGTGATTTATAAGCGTCTAGAAACATCTCATCATTCACGTTTGTGTCTTTCTTGGCAGTCTAAGGGACGCGAACTTACGTAATTACCACATAGAAATGAGAAGCCATGAAGCGCTACTAATAGTGATTTCAGTAACACTCGCATAGTAAAAACGGAATTTTAATTCATCTGTAACTTGTTAGTGAAATAATATGCAAGTGTCTAGGACACGGATTATGTAACTAGATGTTTTGAATGACAGAAAAGCATAACGCTTTGGAATTAAACGATAATTACTGAATTCAAACGTAGTACTTATTCAATGAATTAGGTAGATGTTTACGGGAGATTATGGAAAATTTCCATTCTTAATTTCCAGAAGGTGAGAATTTCCATAACTAATTAAATTAAACTAAGAAAGAAATAGGCGAAATTAATATGTTTGTTATAAGAACCTGGACAAATGGGAAAAGGTTCCAGCGTCTAACCAATCAATGTAGTGTAATTTTCATTCAATGATAAAAAATAAAGTTGCAAATAACATAGTCATCCATTCGCTTGTCGTTCATAATGTTTACACGTTTACTTCCATCTCTGAGAAGTTCGATCCCCCATCGTGATTTCTTCAATACAAGTGTTCTGTCATTTGGAACGGTTGGTTGGCGCTGTTTTCTGTTAGCATTAGTTATAGCCTCCTCAAACCGTTTCTGGTTCATTAGTTCCTACATTTTGGTAGCTCAACAAACCCGTGACGCACGTTTCTGCTATTCTCCAGCAGATCAATAACCATGAGAACACTCAGCCCTTTCGATTAGCAAGAATTTGAACTGTCCCAAAGAAAAGAAATTCGTATTCAAATAATTCCTAAACGATTCAGTCAGGAAGTAATCCTACACTTTGTCCAACTAAAATACACCCGGGTTTACACCAAGCATCTACTCAGCCCTCATCACTAAAAGTCTTATCGGTCAAATCTTACGGACACAGATTCAACCTCAAAATTGATTTTTCAGGAAGCAAATGGAAGATCATAACAAATGTTCGATAATCACAGGAAAATTTCACCGAATTTTCTCTAATCTAGGCAAAGAAATGAGCAAAAAATAAGACAAATTTCTCAAAACTCAAACGGTGAAAATTGTTGCTTTTCCATCAACATTTAAGGCCTTAAAGCAATACAAGTGCTTGACCAAATCATATGTACAATGGCTCAATAAACCAGGGACAATTACTTCTTACCATCATCTCATTTTTAGGGACAGTGGAATGACATGAAATAGATTTTTCTATGTGATGCTATTCAGCTAAGGACACTACATCATACTTGGTTTAATCACATGTTATATGATTGCGCAAGTCACAATGCACTACAATAGTATAATGTGAGGTGTTAGATTCATTAATTTTTTACCTGGTCACAATATACTGTTTCTCCTCCGAGAAACTGAACTTGCGGAAAGGCCTTTGTCAAGCAAAGAAATAAGGTAGCGAAACTGTGTTGAGGAAGTTAGCTGAAATCTTACTAATAAACCCCAAAGCAAATGAACACACGCGTAGTGGATATGATGCACACTGGTAATGAGCGATAAGTTGAGGAAACGTATGGAGCTTAGTCATTGAGCAAGGCACTCATACAAGGATAAATTTCGGGACACGCTATTAGCCTCCAAAATAGCAATGAAAACACTAAATAGAAAGAGCTAAGGCCACTTGAATTATTTGTTCTTCGGGAAAACTGGACCAAAATGAAGACAAGATTGAACTATCATTTTTTCTAGAATATTACGTTAAAGTTGCATATACTACCGATCAACTGAGAGCAAATTCGAAGCTGTCCTTTGAATAGATTGCAAAAATTTGATAATTCAAACCACTTCAAGTGCTATTTACTGGGCGGAACCGCAAATTTATAATTCGGACAGAAAATCGGCTTCAACAGCAAAATGAGTTTCATATTCAACAAGATTTCTTGAATTTAATTATTATTATATGTACGATTCTTTATATTCAACCTTTTATTTCTAGTATCTTTTAGTTAAATTTTATTTAAATGATAAAAATCGACCTATCAAAGCGAAAGCGAATATTCAATTTCAATATAGCCTCATTCCTGGTAGGCTAGACCTTGTGGTTATGCGAAGTGGGGTTCAGCAAACCCATACTTTGAATTGGAATTTGAGAAAGAGAATTTTATGATGAGGTCAATATTCTACAGTTCTCTCTATCAATAAAATGAAAATTCTACCTGAAGGGAATGTGCATAAATTTTGGCAATCAAATGGATTTAAATAATTAACAACTAAATTAAATCACAGCGAGAAGAGTTTTTTACGAAAGTGTCAGTACTTTTGTTCAATCTGTAATCAGGATTCGCTATCTTTACCTGACAATCGATTAGATTAACCTCCTTTTGTTGTTGAATATTGAAATCAAATACAATTGACAGATTTTCTAACAAAATAAAAAAACACAAATACCCTATCACATCGAGATTTCATCTTCAGTTGCCAATGCACCGGTAGCGACGAAGTATCCTGTATTAACTCTTATTTCTAGCTTTTATATATGCAAACAATGCTTCTGGGCCAATTCCGGATAGCTAGACCAAGTAGGTCCAAAAGTTGTAGATAATAAAATATAAACGGTTGCAGACATCAGTCTACTATAAATAATTTGGATGATTTTTAATTCCAAGTTGTCTTTATTTCGCTTTCAGTCCTCAGTTAAAGTAACAGGTAATCAATAGCAACTTTTACTACTTTTTGAAATTCTGATCTACTGGGTATTTGAATGTTTTTTTAAGCGACATTTTCAACAAATACAAATATAAATAAATCATTTTGCAGTTGAAATATTAGCAAATCTTACACCACTGTTCTATACTGCACGGTGACAAGTTGGGGGGACTAATTATGACATAGCAGCAAGTTCACAACAGTTGTGGATAAAATAGTATACATACTAGTGAGAAGGAAAGAATTTAATTAATAGAGATATCAAAACTGAGGCAGAATAAAAGTGCAAATTTTTGGTGAGGTCAATAGCATGTCTTTAGCACACCATGTGAAAAGTTCACGGGCCTCTTCCTTCCTGCACTGAAGTTTCAACTATTGGACTTCTGTACATTGCGCTCTGTGGCTAGCCAGGTTACCCCTACGGATCCTTAGGGTGAATTTGTTTTCTTAAAAGAGAGATCACTAGTTTGCGTCTATTCTTACTTTGTTCAAACACAGGCGATATAAGCAGGATTAGTGACGATATAGATTTATAATATCCACAATTTATAAAAATTTTACTCCACATCGTAACTTCGAATATGCTGATTGGGACATAAGCAATCTGTTCATCCTAAAGCCTATTCATAAACATTAACAATATTTTCGAGGGCACTGAAACAAGGGGAAAAGAACAGCAAATTGCATAAAATGGTCGGGGTGGGATCCGTAGGAGAATACATTTTTTGGGCACCGATCTAGCAGCAAAACGGTTCACTCTACTGTGGGGGGAGGTGGGGGGGGGGGGGGGGTTGGGAACATTAGCGAAGGAGACTACAACAAACACACACACATGCCTAGGCTACTGGGATGTAATTGATGAGTTCAGGTGCAAATGGTCAAACAAGTAAGCTATTTCAACACCAGCCCCGGTCCCACGAGAAGCTGCATTGCAAAAGAATTTTATTTTGAATGAAAAAAAACGTGGCTTAAATACACTACGAAGGAGATATCGAGAAAAAAAGAGATGCAATTAATATGGGAATTAATTTTGAGAATATCATAATTGCTGATAATTAAAGAAGAAAAAAAATATATTTAGTTTAATTGAGCCATAAACAAGGTAATATAAGCAGCAATTAAATTGTGAAAGTGTGCATTTTGCATCTTATATATATAACCAAGTAACCGAAAAAAACATTGTTCTGATACACTTGACTTGAACACTTCAAATCATCTCTCTCTCACACCCACTCCTGACCTCTGAACCTCTCTATAAGTAAACATTGCACATGCTTGATTGAATTCTCCCCATCTTGTTGAGTGATTGAAATCAGTGTTAATAAGCACGGAAAAGCGAGAAATAGTATACCAACAGGTTAGGTAACAGGATATGCAGATCTCCTCCTCCAACAATGTGCCCAAAGGATCCGACACCAGAAAGATTACAGTACTAAATTTAATTGATTAAAAGTATTTCGACAACTAAGTGAATAGGGTTGTATGCATAGAGGTACAAAAGCAGTTCATGTAAAGCAATCCAGTTTGCTCTTGTTTGCTTAGGAAACTACTTTTCGACGGATGAAAATTCTTCAAGTGGCTAAGAGGCGTGAAAAACACACATTCTTCCCTCCTCATCCGCAAATAAATGAAAAACTATAGTTATTATTTATAATGCGAATATTAACCTTATCATTAAATGAAATTAAAGCAGAAATATTGTATTCCGATATCCATTTATTAAAATTCTATCTAAATACCTGTTTTCGGATCGATTATGAGTCACGATTTCGTTTTTCGAGACAAGACATGAGCAGAAAAATGTCGTCTGTAAAATCAAAAATTTTAGATCCCTTAGGAGTTCAAGAGAGAAACTGATTGAATTTGTATTCCACAATAGTGCAAATATCCATTTTATAGTAGCGAATGTCCAATAAAATGTCATGACAAATATTTGAACAAAAATAGTAGATTAAATAAACACAGATACAATATAAACAAAAATATATTTAAGTTTAAGTAATGCTTCATTTACATTTATACCATAAGAGTTCGTAGGATAAGTGAGGGCTTAAATAGAAGAAACAATCTGAAAGGCATATTTTGCTGAACGAAAAGAGAATGACCCTAAAAAATTCGGTTTTAAGGTAACTATTGTATATAAGCAAAATAATTCGAATTAGAAATTGAAGAATGAAATCAAATAAAATTGGAAATGGAGAAACCATGCATTCTGAGCTCATATTTTACCAGATTTTTTTACAGTAAAAGACTCAACAAAGGAAAATATTCGAAAAAATGATACAGTAGTGGATGAAAACTCAGAGCAAAAAAAAGGGATATTTGAATTAATAAAGAAAAAATAATTTTAAAACAATTTAAGAAAGAAACATGCTGAACTTACGCCGAAAAGCTATCCTCTGGACCATGGGTTAATTCAGTGGATTCTAAAACGAATAGGCACAAAATTTTAACCTTTGGATATTGAAATAAGCACCATTTTTATCAATAAACACCTGTTTGAGAGAGAAACCGACCACCTATAATCATCCCAAGTATTACAATCATAGCAATTGGTTGAAAAAAGCCTAAATATGAGGCAAGTGCGTTGAAGAAAAGAAATCGGATGGAAATTCGGAGGATACTTAATTGTATGTGGGACAACCGGAACCTTTTGGAATAAACAATAAAGCTATATGTAGCAACAAAAACTATGGTCGCGCGCAACCCAAATAAGCCAGATAGGCTACAAAAGAAATGAGCCAATTTGAGGTAAAAGCTTGATATTCTAAATCCCAAAGAAGCAAAAAGACCGAATTCTTGCATAAAAAGAAATGTTCCGGTAGAGATCAGGGTAAGTGTTAATGGGAAAATAGTTGATCGTAATGCTTCAAGTAAGGTCGATGCAGAAGAACGAATGAGATGAACAGGAGTAAGTGCCAATGTTAATGAAAAAGGGCGTTCGCCCACCTTTCCTTGCTGCAAATATGCCCTGAAATATGCGGTCATCATTAGCTTAAATGGAAACAGGCAAGTGCCAACGACGAGAGCCCAGCCAATTGGTCGAAGAAACACTTGAAACATTAAAAATATTGCTGAACATAATAGAACAACTACGACCAGGAGAACAATAAAAGCCGTATTGTAAAAGGCGAATTTTAACGGCTTCAGATCGGATGCCGGAAGTAGATTGGATATGCCATTCGTCGAAGATTGAGGATGAAAATCATCCATCTTTCGAAAGAAATCAGCCTTGACCTTGAAATATAGGAAGCGTATTCAGCGCCTTAAGAAAGTGTAGTAAATAGATCAGCTTAGCATAACCATGAACAAAATAATTCATTGTATGATTAATGGAAACTTATAGACAGCAAAATGGTGTAGAGTATTAAATTAAAAATTGCTAATGATCTTTAAGATCTGATAAATTGAACTTTCATACAGAAGTCTGCCTGAATGAAATTATTAACAATAAAACTTAATAGACTATTACTTGACCTGTACTCATTTTATTAGGTTCAGGTGCTTAACTCTAGAACTATTATGACGATTGTGACCATTAAACGTTTATTTAAATTGCAATCTAACTTTAACATTGCCTCAACTACGGGCAATTATGAAGACTTAATTTCAGCCGATTTTTAAAATCTTAGTCACAATAATAACGGGGATCTGCGATATCCAACTTTTGAAACCTACGAATTATTTTTTAGATTAAAGAGATTTTGATTCATTAAGTCATTATGACGTGAAATTTTTAAAATAATTTAAAGAAAGAAATTGCACGCAGTATGTATTTCATTATTTTTGAATTAAATGCCTGGAGTAGAAAGATTGAGATGAAGCAATAGCATCCATTACATTTCATAATTCGATGCTTTTTTGCTATATTGCCACTAAGAATATTTAATATCTTTTTAACTATTTTAATGCCAAAATTTTGCAAAGCATTACTGCTCCTTATAAGGTGAAGTCATTTTATGAATTTATCCACATAGCACCCATTTTAAACCATTTTTAAACCACACAATTTTATTTCATTCTTACCCTTTCTTTTTGTCAAGAGCCTACAATTTGACGAGTCTTCGTGCATGAAAACCTCAAGAAAATATGTCCCAAATATGAGCAATCGAATGGGTATGGGGCATTCTTTAGCTTGCAAGTCCTATGTGTTAAAGACCTTAAAATTAAGGTTCTTCAAATTATCCGTCATTCTCTATTCTCTTCACATCCCATCTTTTGGTTTTATTATTTCTGTTTGCGTCTTCACACTTCATCATATTGTCGAAGCAAGGATTTCCTGTTTTGCTTTTCAAATGAAGATTCCCAAATAAGTGTTCCATTTCCCAACAAAATGTAGCGTTACATAAAATACGGAAGACTCGGGGAGACTGAATCGAAGCTAATAAAACTTTTTTTGTAGTACAAATCCATTTATTTGTAATTCTGACATACAAAATTGCCATTGAATCTCGTTCACTCAAATATTTGAATTCTCAGCAGTTACTGAAGCTCTTCAATTGACAATCATCCCTCCCTCAATCTTGTTGTGGTGAAGATCAAAAAGCTGGAAGTATGTGGGTTCAGCAAGAGCTCTACGCCATCGTAATTAGCCTGCTCTCGCATACACAAATGCTATACTTTCGTCAACTTTTTCCCGTTGCGCCCCCCCCCCCCCCCCCCCCCCCCCCCCCCACCCCCATCTTGTGACCATCTAGAACAACTGTTGACAAGATCCCTTATAGCTCACTCTTTAACTCTAATTTAATTTGAATGAATTTCTCCGAATTAGAAGAGTGAAAGCTTAACAAGTTAGACTAAATAAATGTTACGAGCTTGTGCCTAGTCCTCATTTCGAGGTTCGATCGGTTTATACCTGTCACAGGTAGAATTACTTAGGGAATCTATTTGTCACTAGCCTAATTGGAATCCGATTCTAACACATCCACGCCCAAATATTCATTCCTAATCAAATAGCTTAAAGTCAACTGCCGGTTTATAAGCCTTTTGCCGTATGAGTATACGTTGTCCACGCGGAGAAAGACAACGGCAGAAATCCAGAGATACTGACAAGCCGGAAGCCAACTAATGGGCCACTGTTAACTACCCTAAAGCCCCCCCCCCCTCTGTGAAGCCCGAAGTCGACTAAGGAGCTAATGATATCATAAAGTCTGTCATTTGATTTAAATAAATAAATATCTAATCAAATATATAAAAGCTTAAGGGTCAAACAATTTACTTAGTTGTACCTGAATTAGCGTGATCAAAAAGCACCAAAACACAGTCTTTAAAACCACATTTCCCAAATGTATACATTCTCAAAAAATGGCAAAGAATACAGAATAAAGACAACAATTTAACAATACATATATACATGTACATCATTTGTAGACCAGTAAAATACTGACTCCCGATTTCTTCTACGCAGGTCAAACTTGGTCGGTCGTTGTTATCATTTTACTCCCAGCTGGAGAGCTCTCAGAAATTGCACAGGAACACGAGATCGACTTGCGGGTGGAAATTTCTCCACAAACTGTCGTATCGTGGAAAACAGCTCCGGTGACTTTGTAAAGGCATCTCGAAGATGTTTCGGTGGAAGCTTCAAAAGAGCCTCATAACTCTTTTGCTTAATTTTCAAACAGATCTGAATGAAACCATCCCATAGCTGCTTTGTATTCCATACCTTGAAGTAAAAAATATCAACTGCATAGTGAAAATAATTTTTGATAAGGCAAAAATCTGATCACACTGAATCTAAAGCGATGGAGAAAAAATGTTCAAATGAAATCAAGGTATGGGGGGAGTATATAACGCTTGAACTGATTAAAGAAGAAACCTTGCAACCATTTTTACAAGAGTGTCTTATTCTACCCCCCCCCCCCCCCCCCCCCCCCCCACCCCTCTCTAATTGCAGACGGGCCGCCAAAATAAGTTGTGCGTTGTGTGCGCTGATTTCGTGATCACTAACTTAGCATACGTGAACGTTGACCACTACGCCACCGGTAGATAAAAAATTATAGTAACAGAATTCCCTCAACTCCGAAGTAGACTATATCAATGGGAAATATGCAGGTAGTCATTAAATTAAACTGATTTCCACCCCAGTAATTGCCCGATTCTTCCGAATTCAACCATTGAGGTTAGCGAGAGGCAGCTAAGTGATTCTTTGATGAAAACGGGAACTCCCGGAGTTACAGGCAGCAATTTTATATTGAGAGAGGGGGAGGGGAGAGCGGGTATGAAACACCGGTAAATAAATAAATTAATACACACAAAGGGGTAAAATCGTGGCAAATGAATTGAAAGTAAATTAGAGGTGACACCAGCGAGCTTCTATTCAACTTACAAAGCCAAAGAATAGGTATTGGGTCAAAATACACACAGAATACGTACCTGTCTCTTGACCATTTTGAGGAGGAATTCTAGGGTGAATTCGGAGAGTATGGGATGCAGATCCAGTCCTTGAAGAAGCGTGAAAAACAGAACTTTAGGATGTGTTGAGTGATTAAGTACTCGGTTTATAACATCCGCTAATCGCTTGGGAGTAAAGACTTGACGGTGCTTAAGGCAGTATTTGATCGCTTGTTGAATTGACCTGGGATCCACGTTGGGACCACATTCTAAGATAATAAAATAAAGCGGTTAAATAACGCACAAAGTAAAAGGCGATTTGATGTCCAATAGGGGGGGGGGCTAAAAGCATTTTATCTGGAAAAAAGACATGAAACATACTCTGCCAAAACCCATAATATTCTGGAGAGATCAAGATGGTCTATTCCTATTACTTTCGCATCCTCTAACCCTACTTGATCCACCTATCTATCATTCATACTCATAGATCTAAGGGCCCATTCTGTAGCGCATTACCTTATCAAAAGTGATGGGGACCGCACTTAAAGCAATATCGTGGTAACGTATCCGGAAAGTACAAAAGAACTAACTTTGCCAATGCTGGTCAGGACTTTAATCATAGATTACCCAAAAAGTCGTTTGGAGGTATAAGTATTTTGTCCCTATCATTAGATGGTTGAGAAAATCTTAATTGAATAACTATAAGATCTAACATAAACACCCCGAATTGCGCGAACGCATAAAAGACGATCAACTTACTCTGCTCTGTTTGACCACTTGCTTTCGGAATTTTTATGAATTCAAGTAGGTGGATGGCGACTAAGAGATCTGCAGGCGTCATTGGTTCTACTTTAACATTTTCCGAGGGGGACTGGCAACTTAATTCAACTCTATCTGGATCAGGAGGAGGTTGAGTACCAAAGCTTGCTGAAAAATAAATGGTAAAAGGTTTCACTAAATCGAATTGTCACAGAGAATGCCCTCAATAGGATGCTGTTGGTCACGAAACACATTGTTACTGAAAAGTTGGGAGTAGACTTCATTAAAAAAACCTGCTAACCGTAAGGTACGGAAGCGCCTACCTGCAAACCGGATGGACCCATCAGGTAAAACAATGGTCATTAGCCAGATCAAGAGTTATACTTACCTTCAGGTTCCCAGAAGCTGAAGATTGGGACATTTCTCTTTCATCTTATTGGCTTCATGCCCCCTCCTACTATCTCGCCTCACCAATCAGGAGCTCACTTATATCGGCCCACTTAGACTATGATTCATACATTTAATCGTAGTACCATTCAACCAGACGCCTATGTTAACTCATGCCTACATTTATATTGAATACAACTTAGCCGCAGGTTTCAATCAACACCTGACTATCTGAAACTCACCATTTACATAATGGACATTGCTTAACGTGTCGGGGCCTAATGTTTAAAAGTTCACCTTTTAGAATTCGACCATCAAGTGCTTTTGTGACCAACCTAGATTGATAAGAGACCAACCTTTAAGCAGCCGAGAAACAGCCAGTTTGACAAAGGTATCTCCAAGTTGGAATAATCTCGGCAAAAACTCGGTCACCTCCGTCTTACTTAGACCAACAATCCCTGGGATAATAAAGCGGGCATCATTTCCGCATTCACGGCACAACTGAAGCATAGACTCTACTACTGGCCGTGGAGGCATAATTTGGACATTTGGTCTTTCTGGAGTCACTTTCTTCGGGTCTGTAAGAGTGTGGAGAATCCGAACGAGAAGGGATTCGGCGCCCAGGGGACAGTGTCGGAGGAGGAATCGAATGTGTGGTGAGAGAAGACGGATTTGGCAAATCTAGAAGAGTGTAAAAATAAGCCAGGAGTTAGAAATGCATAAATCAGAAACAAACATTAACGCCAAGTTTCATAGATGATTGCTAGTAAATAGATGGTCATTTCCTCTTTCCCCTTAACGTTCGCTTTTAAACTTTCCGTTTTTCATGCTATCATTGACATTTTATTTACTTCCACTTCGTCAAATAACCGAAGAGCGTCAATAATTGCTATTAGAAACTCGTGATTGCGTAATCTTGAATGAAGTCTTCAGAAAATTTATGAACCTGCAATGGAAAGTCTACATATACTTCGAATGAAATCCTTGAATTCTCTCATACAAATAAATTGACTACAAATTGAAACAAGTGTTAAAATTTCAGTCCCTGTATCATCGTCTTGAATATGACAAAGAAAAGTCACAAGAGAATATAAAACTTGATACACGACAGCCCTTTAGCCTAATCGCGTTTATTACTCTCAAAACTAATTCATATCGTGACCTTTGTCTACCTCATACTAAATGCTCCAGCTACAACAATTCCCCAATCGAATGACCGCCTGCCTCCCTGTGTGATCAAGACTCACTTGTAGTTTCCCCATCACCCTTGCCATTAAGAAGGATCACACATTTTGATCGATTGGATAAGACTTAACACTTTCTACAGCTAATTAGGATTTCATTGAAGAAAAGAGAATAGTGATTAAGAGTCCAGCCCAGAGTCACTCAAAAAATGAGTCACAGTGCACCTCGACGCCAATTCGGTAGGTACAACGCAGGAGATAAAAAGAAAAAGAAATGGGAACCCAAAGACGAAACTTCCAAAATATCACACTTGGCAACTTAGCCATGACCATATGTTTATCTAATCGACAGAATGATATCGGTTCTAAAACCATAGCAATAAATTATCAAAAAAATATACTGCAAAAAACTCACAGCATCATCCATATTTTGAAGGATAAAGGTTTGGACTGTCTCATTGCCTGAAACGTATACTTCTGCAAGACTACAAATGAAATCAATGTCGATCACTTAAACTGCTCCGCTAACTTACAAGAAACAGAATTAAAGGGTAAGTTACAGAGGAAGTAAACTGCCTTGTTTGCGGGGTAAGATACCAAAGAAAAAGTGGGAACACAATTTACAGATCTCTGTTGTCCATTTGTCCGTTAAAGTGGGAAGTTGCACACACAAGTCGGAGAACATTTCGTCTGTCGGTTTGGGTTGGAGAAGTCTTTTCATAAGCCCCACGGCGTGTTGCTGAAATAGGAAGACGATAAACAGATTAACCTAACTAAATTACACACCCTACCTATACTTAGGTGGACTGAAACTAACCTCAACAATTTTTTCAAGATGTGAACTCGAATCAGCCAAATTCCAAGCTGCCTTTATCGCTGCATTTCGAACGGTTGGTTCTTCGAAGGCGGAGAAACTAAAAAGGAAGCTTAGGAGTTGGTCCCGCCACTGTGATGGCTTTATTTCGATTAGTACTCGTATTATCTCAAAGCCATATTCAGCTTGTTCAGGTACAGAGCAGTACTTTTTGAAAAAGTTTATCACATCGGGAGGGTATGAAGGCGATTCCAGGAAAAATCTATTCAAGTACCTAAATATGAAAGGGGGTTAAAGGAGCATAAGAACGACTTGTGGAAACTCGTGGTTAATGATGGAGAAACGGTAGTGGACACGTTAGTGTTCAGGAGGAATATGTTAAGCTAGGCATTAAAGCCTAAGCTACAATGAATTAGCTGATTAGATGGAACCGTCCAGTGATGGTTGGAAATACACAAGTTTGATTACTAATCTAACTCCAGCAATTATAAATCCAAATGAAGACCGGCTTCAGAAGATAGATCATTGGTAAAACGAGTTGAGGAATTTTACCAGCATCATGAGCTGCGAATGAGACGTCGGAAAATTGAGAAGCCAACATGTGAGCCGAACCGTTTACGCATTATAAACAAAGAAATACGAAAATGTGAATCTGTCTAGCAGTGGCGTTTTGACATTTAAATCCATTAAAATGCATTCTAACTTGAGATCACCATCCATCAAGCTTTCAAGTACCCACCATCAGTCGTGACGAATGTCCATAATCTTTTTCCCCCATTTTTGTTCGTCATCTACTAACAGCCACCCTGCCCAGCCCCCTCCCCCCCCCCCAACATCCAATTGAAGTTGTAGAGATACTCCATATATGAATGCGCAAACATCCAGTGTAAGGTCAAATGGCATAATCAAAGAAACTTGAAGTCCGTAATTAAAGAAAAAATACAATCTACCGAACAATTGACCTATGTACTTCCAAGTAGGATTAAGAATATGACAGTACTTTAACGTGTAAACCGATGTGCAGAGCTGCCAACCACATTGATTAAATGTAGCCATTAGAAGGACTATTAGGATTCGACTTTCTTACTATGGAGACTGAAAAAGAGTTAGAAAAAGCCTTCTTCAATAAACTTGGGAAACATAATTATTACTAATTATAATATAATAGTAATGACAACTGATCAAGGAACCTTTCTATTGGAATAAGTTAACTCCGACCTACGGTTTTTGTATGCTAGGTTCGGCAATTCGATGCAGAATCTTATTGAAGAGGGCCTCGTAAGAATTTAAATTCGACCCAATTGAAGTTATAGATGTTTTTCTTGATCCCCCATTTTCTCCACCGCTAGCATCCATAGGCTCTGGACAACTACCAGTTTCCGCAAAATACTTCAACTTTGAGTATTCATGAGTCAACAAACTCATAAGAAGATCAAAATTTTCCTCCGGTTTACACATTGCCTTCTCAAAAATAACTGCATTGGGAAAAAAGGTAAAAAAAGATGAATTACTAAATAAAAAAACAATCATAGGATTCAAGCCAAAACTTACGTTTACTCAGATCACTCAATTTAGGGGTCCCAAGGGCCAATATCAAGATCAATTTTGATCGAGTGCCGGCTTTTATATCCAAAGCAGGGCATTTGCTGAACGCCTTAGGATAACTAAGGGCGGGATTAAATGATAGAATACGCTTTAATGCATCATTCTTAAAAGAACATCTGCGATAGGAAGGAATCGGTTTAACTAGCTTTTCAGCATTGAATGCGTTCTGTTTTGAATGTGTGTTTAGAAACTGGTTAAACAAAGTCTGATTTGATAGGTCGCCGGATTTTGACCAAGAAACCATCTGAGATGCTAAATTATTGGCCAAGGGACGAATATGAACCTTGGGGTCGTCAAATGGGATAAGAGATTTAAAGTTGGACGGTAGTTCGGATGGGAGATTCGCCATACTAAAAGGCAAGCCAAACCTATTTAACTCAGCATCAAACAATAGAAAGTGAAAAAAAGATAATGAAGTCTAACCTTAGAATCAGTAAGTCAACGACATTAGGAAGGGTCAATTTGGGAATAATATGGCAGGTTATTTCATCAATTAGAGAAGTTGATTCACCTTTCCCTGAAGAGAAAGAAGTATCGAGATCATAACATTTGACACCACTTTCAACAGGATTATTAAAGGTGGATCGACAATCTGGGAAAGAGATACCGTAAGTAATCTGCAAAGTTAAAAAAAATATAAGATTTCTTTAAAGGTCCTATGAAAATGAGCGTGACGAGAAAATACAGACCTCAAACCGAGTTGCCCCCAGTCGGTGAAGAATACTCTCAATTCGATTTCGATAATTAAAAGAAGTCCCCTCGGAATAGAAGATCAGACTAAGTAGAATGGATTTCATTCTTGTCTTCATCGATTTCACTTGAGATCGGTTCATGATAAATGGAAGCATTTGACGAGTATTTTCAAAGAATTCCACAATTCCACCGAAAAAGTGAGGACACTGTTTAGCAATACTAACGAAGCTGTTGAGAAGGCTTGAAAGAAAAGGACCAGTCAACACAAATGGGAATTCTTGCTTTCGGTCAGGTTTTAAGACAATATTTTGTAGACCAGATAAAAACATTTTGGCCTCTGCGAACAAATGATTCTGTTTTGAGCTAGGTAAAACTGTGGAGGTTGAGCATTGATCAGTTAATTTCGGGGAAATAGGAGGAATATTTGACTGTTGAACTATGACCATTTCAAAAAATTTCAAAATAGGGTTTCGAACTTTACTCCCTAGATTTGCACAAAGTTGATTTAGAGTTGATCGGGATTGCAATGAGGCACCAAGTAGCGGAATAAACAAACTGAATATTTCATTCCTGAAGTTGCACACAGAACGAAAGTTTTCAGGGGCAGAAGAGTTCCCTTCAGTGTCCTCAATGAAATGCGAAAGAGAGATCGTATAGACAACTTGCATGGATTCCACAATTGACTTCAATACCACTGCTACAGGAGGCTCGGCATGAAGACTTCTGCCGTAAAGATGACATAAAGTAATAATAGACCTTGGAATCAGGCTAGAATCTGCCAAACTAAAATACATTAAGAGATGTTTATGTTATTATCATTTGAGAAAAATTTACATACCACGCCTCCTCAATAAATTTGATCACAAACAGTTTTAAATCTGTATACCTGCGCACGTGAAATGAAACGACTTCCTAAAATTGGTATAATTATAATAAATGGCGAAGCATACATCAAAGAAAACGTTGAGAAGAGAACGATCAAAATTAAGTATCAATTCTTTGACTTGATAAAGAAGCTCCAATTTTTCTGACACATCATAAGTTAGAGAAGCATTGTGAATAAGCTCCGAAACTCTGCCAAATTGATCGATTTTATGCATGCATGAAACGTGAGGAATGAAAGACCCGATAGGACAAACTAAAGGTACCGCAGATTTCAAGGTAGTAAAATATGTCATATTTAAATATCCTAGTCTACAATCAATAAGTAAAATTAGAAACAAAATAATATTTGAAAGTGAATATTTAGTGACAGAATGTTATTTTAGATTCATATTTATTGCTCTAAATTAAGTAATTTAATTGTATTAATTTTTTAATGTTTCCATAAAAGATTATGTATCTTTGTTAATTTTAAAAATTTATTGTTTCATAATATTTAAATAATTTTGTATTTGCATATAAACAGTGGACATCACCTTGATAATTCACGAAATTATGAATACTGTAACGGAATACTTCAAAAATTGATATATATATATATATATATATAGCAAAATATCTAAGTCTGAATTGTTTAACTTAATTATTTAATCTATTTCATGGATATTGAAATTTATAATGTGATAATGATAATAGCAATCATGTTTTTTAATTGAACATATATATATATATATATATCATTGATTTAAGGAAATATAATATCTAACCAGTTGATAAGACGTCTGCATGCACCACGAATGTTCAATGCCTAGGTTGGTTGCTTTAAGAATGTGTACTTCTCGATACGTGTTTGTTAATGCAAATGAGCTACTTTAGTATGCTAATATTCTTAATATCAAGAGGCGCAATAGACTTACCTCCACGTGTTGCGAAGTGGTAGTGCACACTATTAAGAGAAAAAATTAATAATCTGGTAGTTGACTTCTGATTTCGACGTACCATGACCCTAGTGCATGTCATATTCCACCACTTCCACCACCTTACCTTTTTTTCTGCCTTTATGTCAATTTCTTTTACATCTGTGGATCACTCTTTTGACCCCTCCCCCCATCTCTACTTTGTGTGACTTTGATGTCCCTCCTATATGAGAAGCCGGAAGTAAACTAAAGGGCTAAAAATAACATTAAAAATGCTTATTATTTGTTCTAAATCAAAAACTATTCTGGTAGAACATCTGACTGCAAATTTCTAGAAAATGTTATTGCATCGAGTACCTTTATTCCTTGTAGATAGTTGAGAAAATACCTAAACAAAACTATTTGAAAATATAGGGATCAAACTGTCTTCGACGTGCTAAATTATCTACTAGTTAAAGTAATATTCTGAATTTTGTGCAATGTTGAGAGCAGTGCTTATTGTTTCTTCGCTAAATTTTTCCTCTGGACTAGTTTCAATTGCCATTAGCTCGATGGGTTCTGGTTTTCTTCTTCGCCGTAATTTTTAAAATAACGCTCAAAATAGCTTCTTGTGAATGACGACAATCACGAAGGAAGGAATGTTAATATTCCAAATTGTTTCAAGCACTACCTTTGTTCTTGCTTTGACCTTTAAATCAAAATTGATTTCCAAATAAATCTTTTAAGTTACACGATACAGATTTTATGGTGATAAAGTGAATGAATTGGATGTTTTCGGTTCTATTCAAATAAAGTTAACTCATTGATTCACTTTTCTAGAGGGATAGCTTTCTGATAGCTTTGTACTGAAAACCCCTTATGAGGTTAATTTTACAAAGAAAACTCATTCATCATTTAACATTTAAGCTCAGGCATTAATTAAAGTATTTCCAAAAGTCCTTGAGTAATTACACTAAACATCGCTCAAAATGAAAATTGAATTGATAATTAACACCTGTAACATATTAAATAAAATTAATTTCATCGAAGTCCGAAACATATTCGTAATAAGATTTATTACGGTGCATACTAACAACATAAAAATTTAATTTATTATTTTTAAAACATTTTACCGAATTATTTTAGAAGTCTAATATTACAAATTCTCACTTTGATTCGTTGATCAAAACAAACTCATTTCGAACGTCACAGCACTAGCCCAAAAAGGCAATATTTAGGATCGTTAGCCTTTTACTGGCATATTATGTCGCGTCGGGTGCGCGTTAACCAGTTCGATCGTGTTGTCGGGATTCTCCGACAAGCAGCTCTAAGTAATGACATGAGAGAAAAGTTGGATTTTCTTCATCAAGTTAGAGAACTCATACTCAAATTCGATCGTTCACTTCTCGACAGCTTTTTTGAAGAGGTTGTTGCCTTTCAACACTGCCCACATTCCAACTTAAAGCTTTTCGTTGTTAAGTTTATTGAAGATGCGTGGTAAGTTGTTAATTATGCCTCCTTTTTTGTTTTTCGTTTCATTTATTAATGTTATGTTTCGCTATTTTAGTGTTGAAGACCCGCGTATAATAAAAAAGTCTATTATTTGTCTGTCAACTCTCTTTAATTTATGTCTTAACTCAGAGCCACCAAAAAGTGTTGTACTTCAGGCAATTATTGATGCAATGAAAACCATTTACAGTCTTTCTCTCACTCGAGCTATCAAGTTAGGAGTTATCGAGTCAGGCGCAGTAAGTGGCGGTGGTATAGAGGCAGATTCCCTAGCAGACATCTGTTTGGAAACATTTCGTTCAGTAGTCACTTTCAAGGATGAAATATTTCGCCTCCTCGTCCCCTCGGCTGTTCAATTTTTACCTGGTTCAAATTTTGCTCAGCACAATCCAATGTACCTTACCCGCCGCTGTGCGAGCCTTAGTGACAGTGTACGTGTAAGTATTGTCAATTTCATTGAGGTAGTTGTACTGCACCAGTCGCGCAGACCAAACAAATCAAATGAACAATCAGATATCACGTTGGATCAAATACCCGATTTAACTAATAACCTCTTACGAACTATTGTTGACGCAAGTTCTGCTCAATCTTCGTTAACGCCTCTTCCGGGAATTTGTATTGTTCGTCCAAAGCGCTTGGCAGATGAAGCCGATCGACTTTTATCAGGCTTGATGAAACTTCCCTTGAAGCAAAGTGATGATTTTGGATTTACCTCCATCGTAACAGGCCCAGTGTTTGAAGCACTCATTGATACGATTGTTAGAATTGCTTGTCAGAGACCCCAATTCTTCAGTTTGGCTGTTCAATCATTTGAGTGCATTCATGGTAGGCTCTTCCTTTTTGGGGTTGTAGTTAATTTTTACTATTTATTTAGTAAATCTCCCGCCACATTTCAGCCAGGCTGAAGTGAATTCCGCTCGATGGAAGTTGAAATCGGCTCTATTGTGCCTTCTGCAAAATTCGAGTGAAGTTGGTCATGATTGGCAGAGTCGCATTGTTATTCTGCTTACAGATCTTGGTGCTACTCAACAAGAGGTAGGAATTTTCACTTTGTGACTATTAACTAGTAATAACAATTAATAATGTAGCCTTTTTATTTCTTGTTACTCTTTTCTGTAACAATGGGAAGATCATCCCAAATGCTTGACTAAGAGTAAATGCCAGTTATTTCAGTGAGTATGTTAAGGGTCTCACTTTATTTGAATTCCGGAAGTATTTATTTGTCCAATTTCTCCAAATCATGTTCTACTGTTCATATTTGCTTAATTACCTCCCATGTTCTCCATGGATGAGATTATGTCCAACCTATTCAGGCATGTTTGGACGTCTAATTTAATTCTGCGGTTTGTCATGCCATCTCAATTAATTCTGCATGCTCTTACAATCACCAGTAGACATATTAGACAAGCGACGATAATTTTAACATTTCATCGCCCACTGTTATCGCCATTATTGATGATTCGGTGATTTGATTGCATGGAATTCAGGAGGGCTGTCATGTTTTCCACGTCTTGGAGATTTAAAGTCGTTTTATATATCTTCCAGTTCTTCCTATTTTTATTGTCGCATGTTTTTTGCTTCCACAACTTTCTCAATTTGTGTTTGTCTAAAAGCTATTAAAAATCAGTGGTGTGTTTTATGGAAAAAACTTGTCGATATTAACATTTATTTGTGTCAAATGGCAGTCTTTATGGTAGTTATCATTAGCTCTTTAGTTGAATTCGGGCTTCACATGGGGAGGAACAATAAAGTCACAAAAAGTCGAGGGGGGAAACAGAAGAGTGATTGACAGATGTTAAAGAAACAGACACAAAGGTAGAGAAAAAGGGAAGGTATGTACTGTGAAAGTGGTCGAGTATGACATACAGACGGGTCATGGTAGTTTGAAGTATGAGTATACGTTGTCTAGGTTGCAACACGGGGAAGTAAGTCTATCGCACATCATAGATCCTAGGACTATTTGTGCTTAACCTTTCAGGGCAGTTTTAGGTATTATGCTTTCTGATTGTCTTCCACTGGCCCATTTGTTTTCTTACAAGAAAGCAATTTATCAAGCGGTTTTGTTTTCCGATCTGAATTTTTCCTTATTGATTTCAAGACCAGTTCAACTATAATGTGTGTTTATTAGCGCCACAGTAAACCTTTACGCCGGTCTTGCATTTTGACATCAACGTTTCATTAACTGAGTCTTCCGCATTTCTGGTGAAACCCATTGTAATGTCGTCTTCATTACTGTAATTTTTGCTATTTAACATTTGAAATTCCTCATGACCCTTAGACAAGTTATCCACGAAAATTGATTTGGGTTGAGGAAAGCTGTCCTGTTGCCACTCATGTGAAACTTCACACTAATATCTATCTTGTTGACCGTGATTAATTAATGCCATTGGCTACCAACATCCCTTCATTTGCATCGTTGTGCTTATTATTCTTACTACACCGCCGACTCAATTGCACCCTTAAGTACTTTGCTATCGTCTTTCATTCATTGCAGTTTATCTGGATGCCTTGAATATTCCTCTAAAAGAAGCCTTTCCCTCATTGTCTCACTGTAAATTTATAAGTCGTCTAAAGTCACTCATCTCAAATGCCTCCTATTGTTCTTGTAGATTTCCAGTGTTATGTCAGTTATATCCTCTCATGGTACAAGATCTCAAAAACGCAGATTTTCGGCCATGCTAGATGATGAGGAGGAGGACGAGGAAGAAGACGAAGAAGGTATCTTAGCGCCCCAGGGGAATAAAAGATCTCGCATTGGATCTGCTTCGATTACATCTGCTTCGGGCGCTAGGGACGTTTCAGGTTCTTCTAGAGCTTCGGTTGCTTCCATCGAGGAGATTGCTCTCTGTCTTGTTCCCAAACTCACTTGTCCCAACGTGGCTGATTTAGTTCTTTTGAGGTAAGTTATGCACTTCTTATTCTACCTATTTATGTAAAGTTGATTATTGCGGAGTAGTTTGTAGTATTTTTAAGGTATTAATATAATTTAAGATAAATAATGATCGAGTTGATTTAGTCATTCATTTTTTTCTACCACATGTGTCTTGTTGAGATCGACTTACAACTCTCCTCAATATTGCCATGTTGTGTTTTCTCTTTGTTTCAAAAATCCTGCAATCATTCTTTGGTAATAGAAGTTGAAATTTTGAAAAGCCATATACTTTTGCTGTTTCTCTAAAGCAAAAATTGAATCGTCGCTTAGTGGTAAGATTAAAGAAAACGAATTCACTGTCAAGTGGTGAAATAAGGAAAAGAGAATGAGGCATTAGATTTGTCACTTCACACTATATGATATCTTGTTAAATTTTGAATTGAATAAAAAAATCATTTCCATTCTGCTACTGCTTTGTCTTCTGTGTTTTAGCATGGTCAACCTGCCAACCAGTATGCCGCCTGTATTCAATTCCACGTACACTCCAATCGCAGCGGCTGGGACTAACACACAAGTTAGTCATTTGGCTCGTCTCCTTGCTGCTCAACTGTCCGTTTGGGTGAACGATGAGGATCCGGTGGTTGCTGCTGCTAATCGAGATCTCCTTGGCCAACTCCTTGAAAGTGGTTCTCCTGCAGGGAAAAATATCGATACTGGAGTTGAAATCAAGCCTAAAAAGACCCACAGAGTAAACAAAGTTTTATTCATTTATTATTGTCGACGATTGGTGAGGTCAGTGTAATTCTGAGACATCGTAGTTGATAATTAGGGTATATCAATTTTTGAAAGCTATTTGGTGCTAGGATACTCCTCTGTTGAGAATCGCACTTCTCTTTGCCTTTGTTGGTTAATAATTGAATAAAATCGACCTCTACACAACTTGTTCATAAGAAATGAGGTGTAGCTTTCAAACTCATTTTGTAGATAGAAGTAACATTATGGCACTTCTCAGTGGTTAAACTCGAAGCGTGAATAGATGGTCATCCTAACGTTAACCGTTACTCTATCAGTTCCAGGAAATGTGTTCTATTGTATCCAAGCTCTCGGAGTCTGGAGGGATGACAAACTTAACAATTCATCTAGAAGGTTTTAATTGGCACAAAATGCTTAGATGCGATCCGGTTAAGATTTATATTCTCTAAGATCTTCTTTGTCTTTTGCGCGTAGTTTACAGTAAGTCCTACTTTCTGGTAGCTGTGATGTCTCAGTTGATTCATATTTGCATTATTTTATCGATGGAAGTGTATAGACATTTCGTTAGCTTTGAAAGCGCCATCTGCTTCTTCGATCGCCTCGCGAGTCAACATAAGTATATTTCTCCATATACCTACACAAATTAAATATTTAATCTGTATTCTTTTTATTATCTTATTAGCAGTCAAAACGGCAAGAAAAGATTGATGAAGATGATGAGGATGCTTTCATGAGAGACCATGCTGCTAGAGTCCACAGTTCTAAACCCATGAATATCAGCGTGGTTCAAGGAGCTTCTTCTCAGTCGGGAATGGCTACTAACAAACCTTCCTTGCATCCATCAACTGGTCTGCTTTCTACCGGTAAAATCTCGATACTAGCTTATTGTAATTTTTTTATTTTCTGTTTGGTATTAATTTTTTTAGCTCTTGAATTAAAGTGTATTAACTAGCTGGACAAACAGATGAAGAGCTTAAAGGATTTTGACGTACTGGGGAGATGACCTGAGACCATTGAATTAACAAATCATTCCTACTTAGTTATTCTTTCTCAGGGATAGAGAATAAATGTGGATGTTTTCGGATCATTTTGAGAATGCGCATAGTTAATTGATTTTTTTCATTGTTGGGTTGACCATGCTTTTTTTCATACAATGTCCATTATTCGAATTGATAAGGCTTTTTTTCATGTCTTAAATATATTATTTAGTGGGGTCTGGAAAACTCCCTCTTGCCTGCCTGAATTAGGATGCTCATTCAGGCGGTCTTTGACTTCAGGTCTAGCGAATGCGGAGGGTTTGACAGAACCTACCGGTTAAAATTTTGACTTTCTTCGAAGGCTATCTCTTTGTATTGCGGTCATTGCCATGTTGAAGAACTAATTCTTTTCTCTTAAGTTAACCCGAGCCGAAGAATTTACCGATGGAACAAATTTTTCCCAGGTACGTGTTTCTCCACTCATCTGTTATACTGGAACAGTTGATGTGGCGGCACCCAAATTCTTATGCTATTCAGTTAACCAATGCTCTTCAAGTTTACCTGCTCAGCTGGCTTTGGGCACGCGAGTTTCTGTTTCAGTACTTCTAAAGTTAATCGTGGATCTGGTTCAATCTAGGAATTTTAATACATCTTAGTAAAGATGTGTAGGTCGCCATGCTCTTTTTATGTGTGTTCACTATTTAAATTCCTATTTGCCCGACTAAAGTGTTTGAAATCAAAATTATTGACATCGGTGGACTAAACAATTGACCATAAACTCCAGTAGTGCTTTTGGCAGACATGTAGACTCTCAAGTCCTGATGATAGACAAGCATCATTCGCCAATGTCTGATGCTTTTCCTGGCTGATTTTAGATAGGGTATTTTTTTCCCCTAATAGTAAAATGAAATTTATTACTAATAAATAATGTTGAACAATGTGTCTACCAAGATCAAAACTGAGCATAAACGCCTATTTCTAAACTGTGTTACCTCTTATAAATAACCCTGACGTTCATCTTTCCGATAGAAGTGACGAATTTGGGGATACTATTGTATATATAAATGCGTCCTTTTGATGGTGGATTATTTAAAATAAATATGACCATTTCTTATTTGATTTTTTTATACAGCTGGCATTACTCGTCCGTTTTCACTGGACAGACTGATTGTCCGATTGCCAAGCACTCAAAAACGCGAATTTGTTCTTCAAACCTTCCAACGCATTCTCAAATTCGAACCTAGCAAGAGTAAATTCAATGAGGAGGGTCATGTCCTCAAACATGTTCTTTCTAATGCGCCTCACCTTTCCCATCAAGAGAAGAGTTATGTAAAAATCCTTTCCCATCTACTCGTCCATGGGCCCTTCACAAAAAATCTTTATAATAGTAAGTATATTGATCCTGAAACCTATTTGGAAATGTGTACACTTGATGCAGAAGACTTCAAGGAATATCCCATCTTATTGTGCCATAGCATTCTCTGTATACAATCGAGGTAAAGTTGGTGTGCAGGTAATTGGTAATCACCCTCAAGTCGCCTAGCATTAAAGAGAATTTCTTATGTGGTCTAGCACTGGGTCTCTGGAAGCTATGACCTTTATGGGATGTCCATCGGAATTTCAAATCGTAATGTTTATGTCTACCTAATGTTTATTCATTTCAAATTGCAGGCTTTATGATAGTTATTATTAGTCTCTTAGTTGACTTCGGGCTTTACAGCGTTGGAGGGACAGACAAAGTCACAATAGTGGAGAGTTGGAACAGAAGAGTGACTTACAGATGTATAAGAGACAGACACAATGGTAGAGAAAAGGGTAAGATGAGTACTGTGAAAGTGATTGAACATGACATACAGTCCGGTCATAATAGTTTGAATTCAGAAGTCAATTGTCGGTTAATAGACCTTTTTTACCTTATGAGTATACGTTGCTCAGAGTGCACCACGTGGAGGTAAATCTATCTCATACCCCCTACCTAATTTAGAAGATGATAGAATTCGATTAGCTCTTGGAAGCCATCCTGGTTTTATTCACTGACGGTGTAGGAATTAACTTACGCATCTGTACCTTCATTGAATAGAATTATCGACCGATATGGTAGCATAATCAGAGTTTTCCAACCGAGAAACTATTATCCACTACGGTTATTATAAAAACTGTCATCAGTATTTAAACTTTCTAGTATTATCCATGCCAAGCAAAAAAGACTTGCGAGTTTTATTCATGTGATATCATCTGAACTCACGCAAAAATCTTATATTAATTGTTATGAACCGATTGCATAGTGATCCGCATCCCCATCTACGAAAATTAATCCCTATTGGGGCACACTTCCAGGTGTAGAGTCACCATTTGCCCTGAATGATTCCCCTCAACGAGTGAGGTCCCTTCATAAGTTATTCACATTCTCCTTTAGTCAAGTTAATGAGACAAAAAAGATACTTTTAATATCATAAAGCTTAGTGCTATATTAATCTTATTTATCGATTTTTCTCGCGGATTTATGCTCTTTTCTCTTTTTAGTGTTCATTGAATATGTGATGAGCAATCTAAAGGATAACTTTGACTCTCTCGTTAGCCTTGTTGTTTATGAATATACACACTTCCGAGGATTTTCATTTGAAGGAGCTGTTATGGAGCTTCTCAAAAGTAGAGCCCCAGGCTCTTTGGAGGGTGGTATTACTGATAGTACCGAGGGCGGAGGAGATCAACAAGATGAATCCAATGATGAAGCTAGAAGGCTCCTTCTAGAATCTCAGCGCCAGTTGATGGCTCTGAGAGCTCGTGAGGGCAACGATGAATCTGATCAAATTGGATTACACATGAACCCCTTACTTTATGAGGGCAGATATGATGAGACTGGAGATGATGCAATGATGAAGCCCTCTCGAAGGTCTGCGGATGGCGAACGCTCCCTGGAATTCTACGACAACATGATTATTGATATTCTCTACCGTTTTTCTGACGCCTCCATTAAAGCGCCCTACTTCGGTCGCTTTCTGTTCGAAATACCATTTCTCACAACTCGCGTGATTACTTTTTTGAGGCAGTATTGCACTGTACCAGATAATGCAGAGTATGGTTTTGAGGTGGTTCGAAATCTGATTGAGTTGAAACAAACCCAGTGGAGAGAAGAGCTGCTTAATCTTTTCTTGGGATTCTCCGCTCATGAAAACCAAATCGTTCAAAAGGCGGCTATTAAATCTGCCTGCCAATTGGCTCAGTCAAGTTCAAAATGGGAGCAAATTGTCGAGGTTAGTTTCGAAACTCAATCTCATTATTACCTAACCAATTAATTTAGTCAAATCTATTCGCCTCGCGGTTTTATATTGTAGCATCGTGCTATTGAGCGCATGAAGCGTATTCTAGAGCCTGAACCGAAAAGTGAAATGTTTGCTGATCTGTGTATTAAACCTCCTGAAGTGACTGACAAATGGACTACCGAGACTTTCAAACTCTGTGGACAACTCTTTCTGGGTCTTCTGCCACAAAATCCCGGAAAGCTTCTACCCTCTTTGATGGACATTTACATGGCGGCTAATGATGCTGTCAGACTGCTTATTATACAGAATATTGACAAAGCGGTAAGTGTGGATTATTTATAGCACTTTTAATTGTTCATATGCATTGAATATAGGGTAATTGAAGTTGCTGTGGCTTGGAGGAACATTCGTATAAGTGTTCGATGAACTTTACGCTAATAAAGTGTGACACTTCCACTGCACACCAGTCACGCATTGTTGCACATGGAGAGGGTAGTATTATCAATTGTACTAATTAAACCTGGGGTGTGCGATAGACTTACCTCCACGTGGTGCACCCTGGGCAACGTATACTCATAGAGCAAAAAGTCTGTTAACTGGCAGTTGACTTCTAACTTCAAACTACCATCACCCCACTGTATGTCATATTCGACTACTTCCTCAGTGCTCACCCCACCTTTTTTCTACCTTTGTGTCTGTCTCTTACATCTTCGAAGCACTCTTCTGTCCCCCCCCCCTCTCGACTTTTTTTCCACTTTGATGTTCCTTCCCCTCTGTGAAGCCTGAAGTCAACTAAAGGGCTATTGATAACTATCAAAACGCCTGCCACTAATTAAATCTGGTTTATAAGGGGAGGGCAATTGTAAGT